TTATTTCTGATTTAACTTTTAAGTTGTTTCCGTATTGCTCAATAAACTGAGTAACCTGTTATCTATAACGCCGTTCTTAATAATTTAAACATCTTAATTTTTAGTTATAATAACCTAATAGACTTAATTCAAAATAACTTAATTAGTAACACATATAACTAATAATTCTTATAAGTATTTGCAGTACCTTTGTAATTAATAAAAAATTTTCCAAACGGCATATTCATAGATTAGTAACTCAAACCTTAATTTTAATTTTCTACTTTATAACTTTTATTACACGCAATTTATATTTGTTTCTTTGAAATTCCAGGAAAAGAAACCTTAATTCATTTTGTTATCTGCACTTTTGCCATTTTCATTTGAACAGAGGTATATAAACTAGAAAATCCTACCGATATATTCTAATATGATTTCCTTTACCATTACATCTGTTCCGAAAGGCCTAGTGAGAGAAATTCTTGTGATCTTTGAGAGGTGGCTTTCTATTCAGTCTATTCTAATATGGAATTCCATTCCAGTTCAAGAACAGATAACAGCTATACGTGCAAATGATGTTAACCGATTAGAGAGAAGCACAATGCAGAGTTTATTCGAGAATGTCTTGAAACAGACACTGGAAAGCATGCCACAGTTGTTCATGAATTCACAAAGATGAGCTCGCTTCTAGCAATTACTAATAACATTTCGACGTCATAAATGAATATAAATTTCGACGTCATAATATTAAAGTTCGCTCTATTATTAAAATTACCGTTATATATGTATAGTGTTGTATTTGATGTGATTTTCTTATAGAATAATGCAAGCAGAATACTCATAATACTGAATTACTCTTTAGACTATGAAAATATTTTAATTTAGTGCTGACACAATTTATGTGTAATTTGTAAAGGTAATACGAATGTACTAATTTTAGTATCATCTTCCTTTATGCTTATGCAACTAAAACAGTGTTCTTACACACACATAAAGATAATTTTCCGCATGATATACAGTTATACAAACAGCCTCTAAAACAATTAGCTCGGATTTGAATTGCAGCTAAGGCATGAGTAGTTGTATCATCATCTTGAAGCATTAAAGGATTACTGAAATGCAAGAACCCACCCCACCATTGAATACTTCTAATCGTAAGGCACAGAGAAGTTTTTTACATTATTATATTTTCTCAGTGCTTTACTTTTAATCCAGAGAGTGATCTTAGAGCTTCCAAGGCTCATCATGTTTGGGACTTGCCGAATTCCCATAAATGAACGTACGTCTCTAAACTTAGTGTGGGTGAATGTATTTGTAAAAGAAAATTCTGCGCACGTAACCTGTTCATGATTCTGGACTAGTGATGCATATTAATGAAACTGATGAGTGCATATGTGACCCAAATATTTCATATGTGAATGATGCCTGACGAAACGAGGCGCAAAATCTCGAATAAGAGTAGCCGGGCTGCTCTCAACTAAAAGGAAGATGGTGTGATATTTAAAATATCGATTCAATAAAAATTTACTAGCTTATTTCCCATAAAGACTAATTTCTAATTCCTTTTCTGGCCTGAAAACTGAAATTCCTTTTTGAAGTCAATGTTTCCCACAAAACTCTCATTCACACTGATATAAGTCACAGTTTATCTTGTAGAGACATTAGGTATTTTTTTGGAAGCAGACGAGATGAAAAATTAGAAATCGCCTTCACCGGGAATCGAACCTACGGACTTCTGAAATACCGGCTCAGTGTGCTGACCATTACACCACGAAGGCACGCTAGGAAAGCGGAAGAAACACCTTATATACTCCCTTTTTAAAGGGCGACTAGGGTTTTTAGGGGACTCAATCGCCAACTCCTGGGTGTGGAGAATCATCATCCAACACCCTTTTAGTTCGGGCACCACTGTAGAGACATTAGGTATTTTTTTAAGCAGACAAGATGAAAAATTAGCAAACACCTTTGGAATACCGGCCCAGTGTGCTGACCACTACACCACGAAGGCACGCTAGGAAAGTGGGAGAAACACCTTATAATCTTAATACTGCTTCTATGATTTCTCCTTATTGAGGGTAACGTTACTTTTTCTCAAGTGATACGAAAACGTGAAAATAACTTCCTTGCCTTTAGTTTCACCATGCTTTGAGTTTCTTTCCAATGCTCGGTCATATAGTTTCGCCCAGGTGAGATTTCAGAAAGAATCAGAGAAACCTCTTTTCGCCTCTACTGATAGGAGCGAACTCCCCTTGCTTTCATGAGTGTCGGTCAGTTGAAACGGAATTCAAACAGTAAGAAGACGGGCGGGGGTCTTCTCTCGCTCCTTTCTAGAAAAGATGTATTAAGAATGTATTAAAGATGTATTAAAGATGTATTAAGTATTAAAAATGTATTAAGAAGAAAAAGAAAAGATGTATTAAAGTTACTTCAATGTAATTACTATTCATAGCCTAGAAATGCAAATCCAGGTTTTGATTGTTGGCTACATTACAATCCGCCGGCAGCGATAGTAGGATATTGAAAAGTAGGATATTCACTAGTCAGATGACGAAATAAATCATCCCGATTCAGTAAAGTCTCAATATAATCAACCTGATTCTACTGAGTGAGCGTGGAGCAAGCAACGAGGAAGGACGCCATCACGCCGAGCTCTTGGTTTTTGCCCAATTTTCAGTGGAAGTTTTTGAGTGCGATGTGTGTATTATATATCAAAATGTGCGTGAATATCTCCTACATCCTTGGATACATCGTTTAAGTGTGTGTGAGTGATATTTCTCCAGATATTTGTGTTTTAGTGCTTCTAACAAAAGAAAATAGGCAGTCGCAATTTACCGTGTTTTTGTTCACCACTTCTGCCGCTACAGCAACGGAAGGGTCCCGCCTAGCTACCACGTGGTTCCTCTGGTAGGCCTAGGAAGTCGGCCCAATATTCCATGTCCAGAAATTAGTTTTTAATTAAAATATATGTATATATCTTCGGATCCATTGCAATCAAAGAATTTCAAGAACTGGTAGGTTTATTTTTTTTTCCCCTCTCAAAATTATTAACATTTTTACAGGACTTGCATAGTGTTTTTAATTCCATCGTTTTCATCTTCAGTTTCGACATTATAGCTCTCGTCGTCGAATAACTTTTCGATAACTTTGAACAGTGTTCGACAAACTCTAAAAATTTAGTTTTAAAGCTCTATTTGCGTGCTTTTGATGTGTTTTACATGAGAACTGTTTATGCACTCTGTATTTTACCTTTAATTACTTGCAATGTTTATTTAATCTTTTAATTACTGTATTAATTGCTGTATTTTAATTACTTGTATTTTTATGTTTCTACTTGCACTTAAAAATCAGTCAGTCAGTTTGATTGTATTTAGAGAATTTTTAGTCATAGTTCATCTGTTAATTATGTTTAGTATCTTACTTATTCTACTACATATTTTAATTACTGTAATTTCTTGTTACTGGGTGTGAAAGGGACCTATTGTTACCAAATTTTTATCATATATTGGTTGTTATACAGCAATAAGCAATAGCTGTTTTACGTTAAGTATTTGATAAAGAGTTACACTACGAGTGTGATAATTTGCAACTCTGAGAAAGTTCTTGGACAGCATGTCCTGTCCGATTCCAATCACGGTGATTCCGCGCATTCACAAAGTGACGTAGACGCCACTAATTTATTGACCTCTGATTTGCCTTACGCAGAGAAAGTAGCTATTTTGTGTGAGGATATTAGACAGGTAGCGGCCACCACCAGAAGTACTAAATATCTTTTACCTACAGTTCTCTCGCACCAGACTATTAGACTCCCTGGTTGCGTTGCAGACGCTGGCCTTACAAGGTGCAGAATTAGCAGCCAAGCCAACAAAGATAGACACAGGTGTTAATACATCAACAGTGCTTTGCTGTGAATTGGCTCACTCTCAGCCTCTACCGATAGCACAACAACCACCTGATTTACAGGCACCTCCACCTTTGCCAACAGCTTCTCGACCAACTTTTGCAGAGATTATAAAGAAACATAAGAATCCAAGTCTATACATACGTCCCAAAGCGGACGTCACAGATTCTGAGCTAAAGGCTCAGCTAAACGCTAAAGTACCACTTTCCAAGCTACAGGCAGGTATAGAAAGAATTTCTAAGCTCAACAAAGGAGGTTTCGAGGTTGTCTGTAAATCCACTGAAGATGTCGAAGTCCTCGAACAACAGCTTCAAGAACAAGATATCCCAGCGGAAGTCACCCGTCCATGGAAACGTAAGCCGAGATGCACCGTCCATGACTTGCCGGTATCCACACAATCAGAAGAAGTACTCGCAGAACTCAGCGGCGTCACTGGAATGCCTAGCACCACCTTTAAAACCCCTATTCCGATTACAAGAACGTCGTAAAGGCAAAATCAAGTGGGATTTTTGAGTGTGAGCCGACAGGCTTTGCAGCCATCATGCAGCACAGAAAAATCTTCCTCGGCTGGCAGGCTCATAGAGTCTCAGAGCATATTGGCCTCCAGCGATGTTTTAGATGCCAGCAATATGGGCATAAGCAAGCTGACTGTAGAAGTAGAAAACAATATTGCTCCTACTGTGCAGAAGAACATGGGAACCGTGATTGCACAGCCCAACAACCACAGTGTATCAACTGTGGTGAGGCCAACTCCCGCTATGGCACCAAATACAGCTACTTCCATCCAGCCTATGCTCCAGAATGCCCACAATACCAGCGCAAGGTACAGTCAATCCGAGATAATACAGAATACTGCTAATCTTGATTTATCAAACGTCATAAATAAAGATACAATATGCAGTACATTATCTATCAAATGTATACAAATCAATTTACAGCGAGCAAAAGCAGCAGTTGCTCAACTAGCACAATTTGCAGCAGAATTTGGTGCTGACCTGATAATGGCTCAGGAACCTTACACGCGAGACGGAATTGCAGTGGGATTTCCATTGCAATGGACAATTTATCAAAAAGGAAATGTAGAATAGCCTCCTAGGGCCATTATTATTAACTGCAACAAAAAATGGTCTCCAGCTATCGTAGCAATTGAACGCGATAATGTTGCAATCATTATAGAAGCACAAGAAGCATCTTTACTGTTTATCTCACAATACTCTCCTCCTTCTGCAGATATTTTGGCTACTACACAGTTTCTTACAGATACCCTGCAAAAGATTAAAATTCCTCTTAAAATAATTACAGGCGATTATAATGCCCACAACACGGTTTGGGGGTATGCTTCTACGAATGACAAAGGAAGCCTTCTGGAGGATTTTCTGTCTGCTAATCATCTTGTTTTACATAACACAGCAGACGCGCCTCCGACATATGACAGAATCTACGCACAAGGCTGGCCTGATTTGACGGTCAGTTCAGCCTCAGCTGCGCCATTAATACAAAATTGGAGGGTTAATGATGAAATTAGCTTAAGCGACCATCGTTACATTACTTTCTCAATAGAGCAACCGACGACAATTAATATTATTCGTCGTTACAACCTACCTGGTAGGCGTAAACGTGCTTTTACTACTAGAGTCAAGAATTTGATTGAAGGTATTGAACAACAGCTAACTCAAGCGAACTCTAGAGACGAATTGGAGAATTTCACAGTGACTCTACAAAAGTGTATACAGCAAGCGTGTGATGACATATTGCCACAGCGTAGTACTAAAAAACTGACTACGATCAATTGGTGGAGTAGTGAACTTCGTATTCAGCAGAGGCAATGTCGCGCATTACGTCGAAGGTTAAAGACTGAGCGTAGACTAAACCTTCCAGCTAAACACCCTCCCAATTTATCAACAGGCAAGAGCGAAGTACAAACGTTCAATTTTGCAGGCTAAAATCAATTCATGGCATGCTTTTTGTACAGAGTCACAAAACATCTATGGTATTCATCATAAGATTATGACTGGAAAGCTGTTTAGGCCTGCCCAGTTACACATCCCTACACGAATAAATGTTACTCAGGACTACACAAGGGAAACATTAATACAGATCCTGGATTCCGTCTTCAGTCAGGATGACCCAACCGAAGATTCTAAGCAACAAGCAACTATACGTACAGAACAGATGTCTACCAACGTGCCACCGGATAGGGATATTACATTGAAAGAACTAAAACATATATTAGCGCATTTGCCAAAGAAAAAGGCCCCTGGCCCTGATGGCATTGATTATGCAATCGTTAAAACAGTCGTTTTGGCCAAGCCAACAATCTTTGTTAGCTTTTTCAATAAATTACTAGCTACGGGTACATTCCCGAAATCGTTTAAAATCGGACAAGTGGTGTTGTTTTTGAAAAAAGATCGCAATCCAGCGGAACCCACATCTTTCCGACCAATCTGTTTACTTCCGGCTCTTGGTAAACTGTTTGAAAAACTCCTTATGACCAGACTACGCTATTATCTACACGTTAATAATATCCTCAGTCCCAGGCAATATGGATTTAGGCCAGGAACTTCCACTTTACACTTTACACGCTTTGCATGATATCAAAGAGGCTATCATGGACAACAAATATCACGGTCTCCATACACAGCACTCATCAGCTTAGACCTGAAGAGTGCATTTGACAACTTATGGTGGCCAGCGATCTTGCAGGCTCTAAGAAGTTCTGGCTGCCCAAGCAATATCTTTAATACTATAAATCATTATCTACAGATCGAAGAATAATGGGAATTATTGAAAAGTCCAGACAGAGGATGCCCGCAGGGTTCCTGCGCGGTCCTCAACTCTGGAATTTAACCTTCATAAGCATGCTTCTGCATCAATTTTTGCCTTATGGTGGCCAGCGATCTTGCAGGCTCTAAGAAGTTCTGGCTGCCCAAGCAATATCTTTAATACTATAAATCATTATCTACAGGATCGAAGAATAATGATTATACATTCAGCGGGAATTATTGAAAAGTCACAGACGAGAGGATGCCCGCAGGGTTCCTGCGCAGGTCCTCAACTCTGGAATTTAACCTTCAATAAGCTACTCAATGCTTCCTGGCCTGCGCATACGAACATTTTTGCCTATGCCGATGACGCGGCCTTGGTTGTCAAGGGACATTCTCGTGAAGAATTGCAAAAGAACTGCAATGAGGCCTGTCAAATTTTCCAGCGAAATTGTGACGAACTGAAATTAGTCATAGCAGAAAATAAGTGTCAAATTTTACTGGTGCCTAAGAAGGGAGGCTCTTTGGCAAGGAGACCGCGTATTGTACTCAATGGTCAGAGGCTCAAAATTGTAAAAGAATTAAAATATCTTGGTGTTACCTTTGATGAAAAACTTACGTGGATTCCTCATGTTCTCTCTATTAAAAAGCGTACCCTGGCCATCGCCAAACAACTAAGACAATTTTATGGATACAAGTGGGGTTTGAACCACCACATTCAAAAGATCTTATACACAACGGTTGTAGAAAAGTTAGTAACTTATGCTGCAGCAATTTGGGCTCTCCCTATGCAGAGGAGAAAGCATCTCTCTACTATTCAGCCCCCTTTTGCCTTAGGCATAACTCGGGCATATATTACTACTTCCACTGATGCAATAAATGTCTTGGCTGGTTTGCTCCCACTGCATATTAGAACTGAGGAGGAAGCAGCACGACAAATGTTAATACAGCTACACAAGCCAATAGCATTTGCTGAAGAAAATTTTACTTCGGAGGAATATGAAACCAAACTAACATCTGACAGCATTCACCCTGCGGATTATGGTGTTGGCATTAGACTACATGTTCCGCCTACAGAATACCGTAGCCCCTCGAGTATAGTAATTTATACGGATGGATCTAAAATTGAAGGAAATGTGGGGAGCGCATTTGCTGTTTTACAAGAAAATAGTGTCATTGCACAATGGAAGGGCCATTTGGCTAACAATAACAGTGTCTTTCAAGGGGAAGCAGTAGCAATAGCGCAAGCTATTCGCTATTTGATGGGTTAGCAAATCCTATTGCTAACCCATCAAATCCTAAAGGCTACTATAAAATCTGATAGCCTTTCAGCTATTTATGCGATTAGTAATCCAGAACACCCATCCAAAATCATTAGAGATATTCAACAAGATCTTAGAAAATATCAACGCCATGACATCCACTTAGCTTGGATAAAAGCACATATAGGTGAATATGGAAACGAAGTTGCAGATACTCTCGCCAAGGAGGCCGCTTTTGGAATTGCTGCTGCTGAACAAATTCACATACCTTGGCCGCATTCACATTTGAAATCTGCATTACGTCTCAAAGCAATCAGTAAGTGGCAAGAAGAATGGGATTATAGTACCACTGGTCGTCGTACTTATTACCATATTTCTTACGTTACACAAGATAGATGCTGTGGAAATCCCCATCTGACACGTTATATTTCAGGGCATGGCCCTTTTCCTCTTTATTTTGAGAGATTTAAAATAAGCGATTCCAGTTTTTGCACCTGCGGAGAGTTAGGCTCTCCGGAGCATTACCTTGAAAAATGCCCTCTTACAGAAGGCTTACATATTAGATTTCCCTTCGAAAAATCGTCAAGCCTTTTGCAAATTTCTAATCAAGCAGAGGCACTTGATTAATAAAATTAACAAGGTTATGGAAAAGGTTAAAGGTCTTGGAATAGACCTGTGCCAGGTGTAGCATTCATAGGCATAATGTATTGATGCAAAGTACATAATCTTCGTGGTAAACTCTGGTTTAATGCTACATTTATAGATTTTAGTGATATTCTTATAACGGACTGATCTAATGAAATGATCATTGTACTGTATCTTATGCACCCCCTATGAAAAACAATATGTTTACTTTGCTTATTAGTTACCACAGTCTTAACGTACCCTTTCAAATAGTCACTCAGTACAAATTCTATCAAATTTTGTGTCTCTGAAATGTAAAAGTAAAATATTTCATAAGAAATTACTGTACCAGTGTAGTGTATTGTAGCAAATATGAGGGTACACCATTATTGGTTTTTGTTGTTCCAGAATGCTTACGTTTGTATGAATGATACTTATGGCTGAATTTGTGAAGCACATTAAGTATGTACTTTTCAATGATCCTCACGACTTGATCCTGTATTTGTATGATCCTATATTCCACATTCTGCATTCTGCTCCTAATGTGTATGTGTATTATTTTGTATGGCATATTCTATGTATATAGATATATATACAGCGCATTATTTATTTACTTATTTTTTATTTATTTATTTATTTTATTTATTTATTTTTTTTGAAGGTTTTTATGTATGAATAATATAATAATATTTAATCATATAATTAATTGATACTTAGTATTTTTCATTTTAACCTTTTGCATTTTAAGCTGTATAAGCACCAGCATTATGATTTAATAATCCTGTTTGATTATATACTGTATCATGCATATGTAGGATATTGTATTTTTTTTTTTTTAATTTAATTTCTTTATTTTTAATTTTATTTTTTTAAGGTTTTTATGCATGAATAATATAATATTATTTAGTCATATAACTTAAATCGATACTTAGTATTTTACATCTTAACTTTTGCATTTTAACCTTTGCATTTTAACTGTATACGCACCAGCATTATGCTTTAATAATCCTGTTTGATTATATACTGTATCATGCATATGTAGGAAATTGTATGGTTTATTTATATTGTACGATATCGTAAGTACTGTAATGTATGACCTGTAGTCCCACTAGTCTCTAGATAAGGGTGGACGTGGTGCTATTACCAATTAACAATAACGGTAAAGGGATGGTGCCCACGTCCTCCGTCACTAAAGTAAACTAAACTAAACTAAACCTGATTCTACTATGTAAGCCACTATGTACTATGTAAGCATGTATATGTATGAACTATGTAAGCAGGTATTATGAAAGATCTATGTATTATTAACTACTTGTATATAAGCATGTACCATGAACTAGTACTATGTAAGCATATATTATGAATATGTAACTATAAGCATATGTTATGAACTATGTAAGCAGTATACAGGACCAATGTATGCCCTTATAGGCCCCATGAGGCGTTGCCCCGGATAGTTGCGGAACCTGGACTAGACCCGAATAGTCTTAGTAAGCCGCACGGGTGTCCAGATTTTGCTCTCAACTCAATCTGATTCTACGCAGTTTTAAATGTATCATCCCGATTCAGTGTAGTTTTAAAGAATTCAAGTTTTAAGGAATCATCCAGATACAGTGCAGTTTTAATAGAATTATCGCGAGATTCTATGCAATTTAGAGAATCAATTTAATTTGTGTTGCTGTTCAGAATATCCTTATTTTATTAGTACGGGGGATCATACCGATTCCAGTTTTCTCCGTATAGTTGTTATCTACATGATATGTTTTAAAGAATCCCCATGGCTCTTACAAGTTTTCCGTGTCCATTTGTTAGCGTTAAAATTTTTGAGTTCTGAAAGATAAGTCTGCACGTTTCTATAGGAAATTTGATTAGATAAATTCTGATTTTGAGGGAATTTTTTTATTCCAAGGATTAGTTTAAGACTGTGCATTATTACAGAAGATCTGTTACAAATTTGTTTAGTTTTTTGTTCAACTATTGACTGAGTACTTGCGAAATCACAGCACGCAGTCAATGAAATCCCTGATGTTGCCTCTGTATAAGGATACTTTTCCAAGTTACAAACAATTGAAAAATCATAAGACTTCTGTTAGTCTGATGCAGTTTTCCTATAAATCTTAGACACATCCATTGATCAAAATAAATTATAACGAGTTCCTTAAATACCTGATTAAGGTTAAATGTAAACCTCCACTTTAAAATATAAATAATTTCTTTTTAAAGGGTATTTAGAAGCAAATTCAGCTGTAACTATGACCAGTATCTTTCAGCGCATTTACCCTGTAATCCGAGTTC